TCCTAATGGAGTTGGAGTTGTCTTTAAAAAAAAATGGATGCTAAAAACCAATTGCGCTGACTCCAAATATGTATAATTAGAACAAGGGTAGGCAGGCGATGATGTATTTCATTTATTATTTTTACAACGGTGAATAGAAACCGTTGTAGAGCGGATAAAACAAAAAACAAACGTTTTCAGAATTCTCGATGTTTGTATCAAATTCCTAAAAATGCTTCTGCTTAAAAAAAATTAACGGCCTTTTAACAGATTCCTGCTGTATTCTACTATTGTAAAACTACCTGTTAACTTCTTTATCATTCATTCTATTTATTCAAACCTAATGGTTTAAACAAATAGAGTTATTCACATTTAACTATTATGTCGGCTCGAATGAACGAATATAATGTCACAAATCACGTGTTTCTAAATGCAATTTTTTTAATAAATTTGAAAAAAAAGCGTTGGGTGCCTGTTGTCAATAGTAAAAAGCACCCAACGCTTTTTTTTTAATTTTATTAAAATTTATTTTCTATTTTTGTTTGTTTTTTTTTTTTAAATTTGTGTATTGTCATTGGTCCTCGATATATTTACAAAGTATAAACGAATTCTGATCGTTTAAAGCCAGTCAAAATCACGCCCAAAGGAGTCGGTTACAAACAAACATACAAACATACAAGTGAAGCTAATATAAAGCGTGTAAAAAAATAATTTACACATAGGTACATTTAAACTAAACTGATTGATTTTGAACTCGGAGCACTTTAGTTCTCATTGTGCTTTCATTTCGCTATCTAATATACCCGAAGGGGTATGCAGAGGTGTGGTAAATATTCACATTTTGCTAACCATAATTTTAGTTCCACTTACGTCGTAGGGGCAAACCTATTGCTGTCAACCAGACCCTTTAGGGATTAAAGGGCAAAGTTGGGAGTAGATAGCAAGCTAATATGGATAAGAAGGGAAATCGAGCGAATTAATTGGGGAAAGTTAGTCAAAGCTCGAGCCGGTCAGGGGTGCTTATCTGAAATCGAATTGGTTTTCGACAGCAACCCCTCAAACTATTGTTTTGATTCCTATAACATTTACGTGATCATAAATAGTTGTCCACACACCCAAGCTTCATGCACCTTTCAACACGAAGCAATGCAGTATGCAATTAAAACTAATTGAGTGCAGTATGGTATTAGTTGTTAGGTTTAGACTCTGGGCTATAGTTGCTTTTTCTAAAGATCAATTAAGTATACATTTGTGTCCATAAAAAAACTTTTTTTTTTTTTTGTACCAACATTCACACAACGCCATCTAGTCCCAAACTAAGCAGAGCTTGTACTATGGGTACTAGACAACTGATATAAATACATATATACTTTTTTTTTGGAAATACATACTTATTATACATAGAAACACCCAGACCAAATCAAACATTAAATGTTCATGCACACAAACGTTTGACTTGAGCGGAAATCGAACCCACTAAGCCATTTGGTCGTCAATTAAGAGTGATTAAGTTTGTGCCTTGCGACGAATATGTGGTAGAAGGTGGCCGGTGTTTACCAAACTATTTCCAGTACTAAGAAAACACACGGCTATCTATCTACAACCACGACTATAAAGATGTTGTGTTCGTTGCAGCATTTGTGGAAAGAAAAAAAAAACATTGTGTTTTTGTCACTGGAAAATAAATATAAACACACACCGTGTGTTTTTCCCGCAGTGAAAGAGAGCTCAGACTTACCGGAAAAAAACATTAACTAACTAATAGATACGTGTGGTGACGACTTAAGAAAACAAATTGTCATCACCCCAATTCATCCCGTGGGTGTCGTAAGAGCCGACTAAGGGAGCAAACTAAGCAGGACAACAGCACTGCAAAGAGAAGGAAACTTGAAACAAACCCTATACCAACCCGTCGGGCCAGCGTGGTATAGTAGGCCAAACCTCCTTTCTAAGGAGAGGCCTATGTCCAGCAGTGGACTAGTATAGGCTGTTGATGATGAATGAAAGAGAGCTCAGACTTACCGGAAGAAAACATTAACTAACTAATAGATACGTGTAGTGACGACTTAAGAATACGGCGTATCACCACCCTATTTATCTCGTGGGTGTCGGAAGAGCCGACTAAGTTAGCAAACTATATTATAATGACATAGATGACAAAATATACGTACAGATAGTAAGGTCTACATCTCCGAAGGGGTAGGCAGAAACGTGTTGAATACCTAATTTTTTTTTATATATGTACATTGAGAATTTAAATGAGAAAATTGACAGGTTAATAAAGGAAAATGTTAACAGGAAAGATAGGGAATGTAAGGAAAAAATGTTGGTTAAACAGATAATTAAGGCAAACTCATGACATCCACTGGGTAATTTTAGACTTAAAATGGGAAAATTGTAAGAGTATTGAAAAGAAGTCCTAAGCAGAAAGGTAAAAAATTGGACAAGTTCAATTGAGGATCCTACGTAATAGAGAGAGACGGCGAGACACAGATATATGAGTCCATGAGAGACCTTCGAACTGATTGTTGTAAGGCCCGAGCCCTCTATCTCATAAAAAAATATGTAAGATTTAAAAATAAACTATCTTTTCCATGCATCTGCCACTAAAAACTATGGAATTACTTTTAGATAAAAGCACCAAAAAAAAAACAACAAGGCAGATGCCCACATAAAAAAGCCACGCTTGTTGAATATAACCAAACTATTAAAACCTGTTCTCTTGAAGGTCACCCGTATACAGAGCGATTTGCCCTGGTGTGGGTCCAAGGTAACAACGCCCCATACACAATGAAGTGACGTAATCTCTATTCTCATAATGGACACTATAAAACACATTTTAGCATCACATTGTATAATAATTATAATTCAAGGTTTTTTTAGAGTGTTTTGATGGTTATTTTTTATCAGATTTAAAATGTTGTGGTGGAATTTAGTTCAAACTAAGTACGTTACATCGGGTACATTTTTAAACAACTCTTTCCATTCGCACTTCGATTTAAATTTCAATTTGGTCAGATTAGGAAACGTATTCGAATTTCATTTTATTGAATAAATATTTAATCGTAGGAGAGCACTACTGTGCGCTTTTCAAGACACTTTTTGCATCGCACAACCAATCTCTGGAATAAGTTATCGTCTGCGGTATTTCCGGACCGATACGACCTCCAAACCTTCAAAAAAATAGCGTACTCCTTCCTCAAAGACCGGCAATGCGCTTGTGACTCCTGAGCTGCAGGCATTCATGGGCGGCGGTAGTCGCTTTCCATCAGGTGACCCATCTGCTGGTTTGCCCATATTCCATAAAAAACAGATATGGATCAGCTCAACCGAAGTGATAACCACAGCCTCAAAGAAAATTGGTGTGAAGCAATTTTTTCGTTACTTATCACCAAATGAGTGAGTTATCGGAGTCTTAACCAGCTCACCCACCTCTTAATTCTGGTTGAGTACTTACCATCCGATGACTCGTCTGCGAGTGACCCTAACTATCATAAGAAGTCTGTCGTAAACTGACATTTTGTAAAAAAGAAAATACCACGACAGGTCAATAAATTCTGAACAGCTTTATGTTGTAGCCTTTTTGACAAACTTTGCAATACATTTTTTTTTAATGTTAGATTTCTGCACGGCATCTACATCTATATAAATTTTGAGTCTTTCAAGTTTCACATTCAAACTTCTCTGTAATTTTGGCTAGGCATTTCAATCATATATCTGTATACAAGTTTATCTATAGATAGAATTCTAATCCACTAGCTGACCCACGCAAGTTCGTCTGCGTCTCTTGAAATACGATAAACGTTGGCCGTTTTTGCAACAATTTTCATTGATACTTGACTGCTATTGGGCATACCGTGATGTTATATAGCTTATAGTATTCCTTCTTAATCTTTCAATTTCAATTGTCATATTTTCTCACAGTCCAAACTTTCCCTGGTCTTCCAAAAAAAATTTAAAACCAAAATTAGCTAAATCGGTCCAGTCATTCTCAAGTTTTAGTAAGACTAACGAACAGCAATTTATTTTGATACCTAAAAGATTTGTTTTTTTTTTATAAGAAAATAATACTATAATGCCATGGGGTAAAGAATAAGTAGTCCTAATCCTTTAATATCACCAAAAACCATCAAAGGAGCTGATCAACCGATTACCAGAAAACATTATTTATCTTCTATTAAGTAACTTCTATTAGTAACAGGCCATTTAAAGAAATAAAAACATTCTGCACTACTCCATATTTAGATGTGCTACGCCTCGCCTTACTTTGCCACACCTTGACAGAGCTCACCTGCCTGAGTGATTAGTGTAAAATATTGTCGGATATTTAGTATAGATAAGTAGCAGTGTACAGTATTTTATTTCGGCATAATGAAATGAACACGACGTCATGTTTAATGAAAAAAGACTTAAGTTTTCTCGAAATAAATTCCCATTTTCATTGCACGGAACTATTATATGGAATTGAAAAATATCCAAGAGGCTCGGTCGAGTTATACGTATGCGATCTTGATCAACAGTGCAATTCGAGTCGAACTTCAAACTAAGTTTTTTTGAAATTCGACGCTACGGCGCTATCACAGTGTCGAATTTCAAACGAACTTAGTTTGAAATTCGACGCCGTGACAACGCTGTACGCAAGGCTGTTTCCCTAGAGACTAGCACTGCTGATTTAGATATTACTTACACTCTACAATTCATCCGTAGGTATCAATATGTTTAATATATATTTATGTATTTACAAAAAAGTATATAAGTATTCTATCAGTCAATCTAGCTTTCATAGTGTACTAGCTCTACTTAGTTTGAAACTAGATGGCGTTGTGTGTTAGACGTCCGAAATTATTACTATAAATATTATTAATATCCCTTCTCTGCCTTCAATTCATAGGATCTATGGGCAAATGCGGGCGTTTGAATGAGTGGATGGATCTGTGAACATATACGTGTGTGTATAAATAAGCTAAATCAATTTTTATAAAATGCCTTTAATATTTATATGCTTTTATTACAGCTAAAAAATGGCGTTCGAAGTCAATAAGTGCTGTTTCTGTGTGGAGCTCAGGACTGGTTCCCTCATCATCGGTTATCTGAACCTGGTAAGAAATCTTGCTGAGTCTAGCACTAATTGTTTGTTTTAACCGACTTCAGAAAAAGGAAAAGCATTTCATATTTTTTGCAAGGGAAAACTTTAAATTTGATCCCACTTAATTTTGAAATAAAAAACTTCTACAACTAGAGGTGAAAATGAAGTCATGATATTATTTTTTTAAACTGATTACTATTTTAAAAGTACGTTTTTATTTTAGGTATGGAACATAATAGTCACATTGTTGGTGATTGTTAGCATGGCTGCGGTTGGCGTCGCTGTATCGAGTATATCGGAAAGAGAAATGAATGAAGAAAAACATACAATCGCTGTAATTGCCATGGTAGTTTTCGGAGCTATCCTGTTGTTCCTGATTTTAAACCTGATCTTCATAATCGTGTTACTCGTCGGGTTACACAAGGTTATTTTCTTTTATTATACAAGCAAAATAGACTAGTAATTTTTATTAAAAGACAAAGTGACGTTTCGCTGTGGCACATTGTGTAAGCGTTGATGAGAAATTAGGAACAAAAATGAAGGGAAAAATTGATATAAATAATTTGTGAAGCGAGGTGTATATCATTTCAAACGGTGTAGAACTTTTTACTTACTTAACCTTTATGGTAATAGTAGGGAAGGTATTGTTATGCGGCGAGTTAATCCTGCTATACATACGGGTTAGACAAACAAAAAATGGGAATATTATTGACACCCTAAGTTTTCAATATATATACTAACGTTTTGCCCGCGTGTGTGTCAGTTATTGCGGTAAAAATTAGCCTATGTTACTCGCTGATAATGTAGATTTCGTTTGGTGAAAGAATTTCTAAAACCGGTTTAGTGGTTTAGGGGTGGAAGCGTAACAAACAAACTCACTTTCACATTTATATCTGCATCTGACGGGCCGTTGGTCTAGTGGTTAGTGACCCTGACTGCTAAGCCGGAGGTCGTGGGTTCGATTCCCACCCAGGACAAATATTGTGTGATAAGCACGGTCATTTGTTCTGTGTCTGGGTGTAAAGTATCTATAATATGTATGTATTTAAAAATATATAAGTATATTTATCAGCAGTCTGGTTACCATAGCACAGGCTCTGCCTAGTTTGGGATCAGACGGCCGTGTGTGAGATGTGTGAGGTATATTATTATTATTATTATATTATTATTATTATAAGTATGGAAGTATGAATAAATATGTTTTCTTATATTTTTAGAACAAACGTGGACATGTCAAGGCATACCTCATCTACGCCTTCATCTTCATCCTGTTTGCCATCGTAATGTTTATCTCGAGCATTGCACGGGGTAACCCAGCGGGTGATATCATTAAGAATCTCTTGACCCTCTGTAAGTATTCAATTTTTTTTTCAGTGATAACTTTTTGTGGTATAGGGGGCAAACGTCTACCGCCACCCATGGCCACCTGTAACTCAAGAGTAACAAGTGCGTTGGCGCTTATTGAGGGGATCCCTTACCGGATTCAGGGGATCTCCTAGCGGATTCAGGGGATCTCCTCCCGGATTCAGGGAGGGTTTTTGAGCTCCGGTAACCTCACTCAAGCAACAAAAGATTGCTTAATAACTTCTGTGTTTTCCGTGTTCTATACATTAAGAGAGTCTTCATCTATATGCTTTGTGAATTAAAAAGCAGAAAGGATCACTGGCCAATAGACGAACCGATAAAATTATTAATATGTATGTATTTATAATAATAAGAAAAAAATGATTATAACAGGTTTTTTTTTTGTTGTTTTATTCGAAAAGTTCCGACATGAATATATATCTGTGTTGTACGTATATGCACAATATATGTTTATATTATATATAGTTATATTATCAATGTATTTAAACCCAAACACAACTCTCGTGTAAACTGGGCCACTATATGTAGATTATCGTAGATACTTATATACAGAGGTGTCGGCAACGGTAACAGTATCGCAAGTTTAATGGCTTTTCCCATCACAAAAAATACATTCTTTTGTTTGTTGTTCAAAAAAGCCTAATGCGCCCAAATAAGTTTTCACTTCAATAAATAATCTTCATTTTAATTCGACATAAATCAAACTACAGATAACAAAAGAATATACTTAAAGTCTGCTTTATACTACATAATATAAGATACTGTAAAAATAAATAAAACATAGCTTATATATTTAGATAGATTTTAGGAAATTTGTGCGGACCACTTGCGGGAAAAGCGTCCTCTAAGGCATTCCAGACCACCCTGTTTTTGGCTGTGGATAGCTAATTTCGACCCGCCGATTTTACTATTTAATTCGCCCATTGTGTACGTATTTAATCCTAATTTATTCGTTCAATTTTTCAGTGTTCACCATATACTTCTTTGTCGTTATTAGAAGCTACTACTTGAAGATGAACGACACTGCTAACAAACCAGCAGTGTACAACACCGCTTAAGATCATTTGTAATCTATTGCATTTCGAATATAGGAATACAATGTTGATTAATATGCACCATGAAAATTGTTACAACTACCATTTAGACTTTGACTTTTACTATTTGTGGTTGTAATGTAACTTTTAAACGAGTTTAAAAAATGAGGTTTTAAATGTGCTGCTTTTGTTTATGTAAATGTCCATTTTAAGTGATATATTCAACCTTTTTAGACACTTTTAATTTTTTTTATATTTCGTATCTATGTTTGAGAAACAGTGAAGTGCAAGTAACTGCGATATTTAATTACAAGAAACCAACATTTCGGTTGTACGGTGATTTTTAAACTCGGTGGACAGGAATTTTAAAGTTTATATAAGCATCTCAATTAAAAATAAAGTGTCTTTTTATGAGGGTTATTGTCCGGAGGCAAAATTTGATACTCAATTTTTTTATAAATTAGAATTTGTTAAAAAGTTTAAAAATGTTTTGATGGATCACTAGTCGTCAAAGGTCAAAGTATATTTTTGTGATGATTTTTATTGTATTGATGAGTGTATATTTTTAATATGTTTGTATGAGAGCGCCAGCGTCTCAAAAATATAAATTCACCACCAAAATAATATTAAATTTGCTGCAGGACATACAATGACAATCAATGACAAATGCTATACACAGGAAATAAATAAAACTTTTTTTACTTTTTTTTTAAACGTTCAGGACAGTATTTTTTTAAACATGTCATCTTGACTTTTTTTTCTGAGTTACCTTGTCATTCGGTTCGCCGTGAAGACAAAAGGATATCTACCGCACAGTCTCAAAAGTTACGTTTCCGTGACAAACTGACGGCGTTTATAAGCCTTCATGCTTTCGATTGTGCATAATAAATATACGTTTCTCTTATAATATTAGAATGTGTTTCTATTATAGCCATATGTATGTCCTTACTGTAAGTGATTTATGAGTTCTAGTTTCTAGTTTTAATATACTTTAGTTCATAGTTGTTTACTATTTTTTTAACGAGGCATTTATGTGGATGTATTCAATTAAAATGAACACGATATTGTTAAATGATATTTTATTGTTTACAAGAGTCTTTATTTGTAAAAGAAACTAAGGTGTATTATTCTTTTCTAATATGATTTTCGGCCAAAATATTACAAGAAATCTCAATGTTCTGCCTATTAAATTAAAAAAATATTTTTTGCTAAATTTGATTATGATGATTATAAAATTGCAGTACTTTAATATTGGTACCTATACTAAATATACATAGAGTAAATAAAAACACGATGATTTGTTTCATGATCTAGTTCTTATCTTTGTTAATTACATAACGTTTTGTTAAAATCATTAATAACATATACCTCCTGTTATCGCCATGTTGTACTCTCTTTTTTATGATATGTTAATTATAGTTAAGATTTAAGTATATTGTCAAAGGTTATAATGTTAAAACCCATATAGTACAAGATTAATATTATTAAAGAGTTTTGGTTGAATCACTTTAGAAAAAGTAAGTTGCTGTTTTTAATATTTTGTCATCATATATCTGAAAACAATGCCTATCATTTAATAAAGCCTATCAATAAATTGTATTTTTCAAAGATTTTTTATGCTTTATAGAACCCCTTTAGTCTCTGATCATATGTGTATGGGTACTAGACATACCTGATGGTCTACTCGTTAGAGATTCTGACTGTTATGCCAGAGATGGGTTCGATTGCCAACCAGGACAATTTTGTGATGAGCACCAAATTACACCCAGACGCAGAACAAGTAATCTTGTTCATCATACAATAATATTGCACCCTCAGTAATATAAAGGCATAATACGAGTACAAAAAAGTAGTTTAGACATCGCGTTTAAAGATTCTGGATTCTTATATTCCGTCTGATTTTTCTTCTAATAAAGTGCTTATTATTTAAGTTATAAGTTATAAATTTTGCAGATTTATCTTTCCATAACTATACTATAAATAGCTATGAAAAAATGATAATATAAATGAATAACTTTCAAATTAAGCCCATATAGTACAAAGAAACATATTCTCTTTTTGGCGATTTAGCGATCTATTATGTATCAGACTATAGACTAGACTATTTGCTATATGTCTTGGGTGGAAATCAATCACCCCCCCCCCCCCCCCTTATTTGCCTTTAGTTAGATTATTTTGCCTTTAACAATAAGTTGGAGTAACATATGTACTTATGTCGCGATGTAGAAACCAAATTTATCGAGTGATATCTTTATTACATTACTATACTTAAGAATTATATTAATAAAAACATTAATTGTATTGTCTAGTTAGTTATTACCATGGTTTATTAAATACATGCAAGTGAAGTGAGAAAAATCCATAATAATAATAATCATAATCCATTATCCTGGACATAGGCCTCTCCTTTCTAAGGAGAGGCCAATGTACAGCAGTGGACTAGTAAAGGCTGTTGATGATGATGATGATGAAGTAAGAAAAATCGAGCGACGCTATTGGACGCGATAGTATGTCACAACAAAAGACACAGAAAAAAGGACGCAATGTCGCAAATTGAAGCATATTGTCACCTGACAAAGTGGTCAAGGAATTTTACAATTGTACGTAGTGATTATTTTTTGCTATAGAGAAAGTATGACGCCTACTAAATTTTTGTGATCATGTTACATTTATTTGTTTTGTTTAAAGAAAATAGCTGCAGGCGTTCTTTATGCAGTTAATTTTTTAATTAATAATAATAAATAATATTGTACCACATTCACACAACGCCATCTAGTCCCAAACTAAGCAGAGCTTGTACTATGGGTACTAGACAACTGATATAAATACATATATACTTTTTTTTTGTAAATACATACTTATTATACATATTAACACCCAGACAAAATCAAACATTTAATGTTCACGCACACAAATGTTTGACTTGAGCGGGAATCGAACCCGCGACCTTTGGAATAGCAGTCCGTTACACAAACCACTACGCCATTCGGTCGTCAAAATAATAAATACTTAATAATAAATAAATACTTAATACAATACAATTAATACTTTTATCTATTGTATAAGAGGGTATACGAGTCGGATCACCTGATAGTACGCCCTTTCAGTTCCTCCCCCCCAGAATCAGGGAAAGGGATTGGGCTCCGGTAAGCTCACACCTCACTCACTCGGTGAAAATAATTGTCAGTATAATGTGACGAAATTATTTTTTTAAGAAACCTACATTTTTTCCTTAAGTATCTAAAATTCTATAAAGCATTGGCTTCTTTTTATAAAGCAGAACCTGAACAAACTGACAAACCTATTTGGTGAAATATTTAACCATTTTTCTGATAGACGTTCATACCTACTAGATAGGTAGAATTAGCTAAAAAATTCCTATTGCAAGATTGCACTGAAAATTACAACCAAATATTGTCAGCAAAGTCCAAGTGCGAGTCGGACTCGCCCACTGAGGGTACAAATTTGTGGGTACATATTAATTGTTCAAGAATCGAGTCTCCCGGTTTGCCGAGCTTTTACCAAAATTCAGTTTCCAAATCCTATAATTATTATTGTGATTTATAAGTGAAATTGTACATCGATGATTGATTACGTTCTTTAAATAAAGACTATATTTTTATGATTAAATTACAAATATATTATAGTTTTTTCATATTTTTCCCTGTACTTGTAGTATAAGACCATATTACTTCCCAAATTTCATAGTTGTAGGTCAACGGGAAGTGCACTATGAATTTTAATTTTGCGGCGTTTTTTGCGGCGAACGGCGCCAAACGCGAGAAACTGTTTTTTAACATTTTTGACTTTTTTGTGGCACCTTAGCTGACAATGTTTTGTTATAATTTTTATTGCAATTAAAAAAACATTTTTTTTGATAGGAATTTTCCGGAATTTTAAGGATTTTTTCGTTAATTCCACCCGTTTACGTTGGTAATTCAATTTTTATATACAGCCTTTATACAACACCTCGTTATGGCGATGACCTTGAAAATATGGTTTGTTATCTATGGTCTTGTATCAATTATTCAATTCGTGTTCGAAGCGGTCCTTCGTTGTGCTTGTTTATGGCTAACCACATTTATTGACATTTTTGTTGTATCTGCGTACAGATTCCTAATTAATATTCTGCGATTGACATAATTCTAGAACCAGTTTTTTACATTACTTGATCGATGTTCTTTGCATTGCAGACAATAAGACTGTCATTTGACCTAAAAAATCAACAGCTACTTACAAGTTGTATTAATACGCGTTCGTTTTAGTCTAGTCAAATATTATTAAAGATTGAAAAAAAATTATATTAAGTGAATGACACGCCGGAAGACTACGGCTTAAAATCTATGGTTATATTGCTAAATAAGTGAATTTTCTTCCTAAGAACATACTAGAAATAACGTGATTGTGTAAGTTGTCTGTTTAAATTAAGGTAAGTGCAACCTCAACATCTGTATATATATTTATGTTAAGTTAGTTTGTGTACGCTTGAAACCTCATAAAGTTCTGTACCGTTTGAACTCAAATTTGGCACAATACACAACCCTCTACAAAGATTGTTTTTACCTCCGCGACACAGGATATATTCCTAATGCGGGAGTTGTCTTTAAAAAAAGTTATAAAGTTGTATATTGTTTTTATCTATTTGTCACTTACGTTCTTCATTTCTCATCATTGCAACCACAATGTGCCACAGTGGGGGGTGGCAGTAGGGGGAAATCTAGCAGACAGATGGACTATTACCACCCATGAATAGACCACCAGTATCTTCATTCAGTCTGTGAAATGCAAACAAGAAATGCTTACTATCTCGATTGCCTGTAAGACTGTTTAATTACTTCGGTCAAGACCCATATGTGCAAAAACATCATCATCAGCTTATCGCAGTCCACTGCTGGACATAGGCCTTTCCCATTGCACGCCACTTAGATCGATTTTGGGCTTCTCGCATCCAGCTCCTGTCAGCCATCTCGCGGAGATCGTCACATCACCTGGCCTGTGCAGAAACATGGCACTCCCATATTGTA